CATCACCATAAAACCTTAGTATATATAATTTACATTTATATACTTCTGTGCTCATTGTGTTGTATTCTATGTTGATCAATCTCAAATATAAATCAGGTATTTCTTCAACATGACAAGCTGGAAACTTGGGAGTTTCTTTGAAACCTCTTTTAAGGGGCAGCTAAGGTTTTATGGTGATGTACTCAGACGTCCTTTGCTGTGTTTCCCCCTTTTTTGTGTGTGATCCTTTGACTTTAAAGAGTAGACGAGTGAAAATTTGATTCTCCCTCAATACTTACCTTCATGTGGAAGGTAAATATTGGAAGGGTTGACCTTTTAAACATGTTTTGGTGTTTGTTGCATGTTTCTTTGTGCTCTAGAAATAGTTTGTGTAGATAGTAGTTGTTAGGCCAGAAGGTTGGCGGTTCCGGTCCTGCTGGTTTGGTGTCCTGCATATTCTAGATCTTTCCAAGCACAGCTGGAAAGATGTTCGCTGAAAGCGAACACTTTCTGCTAAAGGAAAAAAATGCTTACAACTCAACTGTTTTTTTGGGTGTTTGCAAGAAAGAAGAGATATTTCTGCTTAAAGACTGCAAGCTTAGTTCATTGTCCTTTCCTTTACCTCTCTCTTGTTCTTTCCGTAGGTGCAGATCTTTCGACGCTTCAAAGTAAATACAATATTTTGCCTCAAAAACATTCCGTTCCAATTTTTTATGACCCGAAGCGATTCTAATTTTCTCCCTCCGTCCTCCGCGCTCCTTCTCACGGCTTCTGTTTCTCTCACTCAGGATGTCATTGGCGGAAAACAGGGACATGAAGCAGGTGTTTCACAAGGCAGTAAAGAAGATCGCTCACGTCCGCGTTGTGACGCAGCTTTACGTGCCCGAAGACGACCACAATGTCATGCTGACGCACCACTGAGTGACTGACTTTGTCTGGAGACAACTCAAGAGCAACGCCTCCATAAAGCTGCAGTGACGAAGAACTCTGAAATTGAGCGTCCAACTCGAGAGAGAGGAGGGTGGTAAAAGTGTTGGTTGGGGTTTACAGCAGCCAGAGCGTTTGAGTGAATGTCTGTGGGCAGCGGCCCAATAATTGGGTATGCACTACATAGTGATGCTGTGCTAAAGAGGATGCCAAAGCGAATGGAAAAATGATCTCTACACTGTGTTCCAAATTATTATGCAAATTGGATTTAAGTGTCATAAAGAGTAGATTTTTTGTTGTGCAATTGAATTTATAGATGTTATTGTGTGTCCGAGCTCTTTGAATCACTATAGTTAATTTCAGATTAGTTTGTCTGGTGAGCTCAATTAAAAGAAATCTACTTAAGAAGGATGTTCCATATTATTAAGCAGGCCACAGGTTTCAAGCAATATGGGAAATAGAAAGGATCTCTCTGCTGACAAAAATCACCAGCTAGTGTAGAGCTGTATGACAAGGTATGAAAACATTAGATATTTAAAGAAAGCTGAAGCGTTATCGTACTGTGAAGAGATTTGTGGCTGATTCAGAACAAAGATGGGTTTGTACAGATGAAGGCATAATGATGAAGGTTTCTCTTAGACAAATTCATAGGATTAAGAGAGCAGATGTTAAAATGCCCTTACAAAGCAGCAAACAGTGATTTGAAGCTTCTGGAGCCTCTGGAACCTCAAGATGGAGGATCCTCCAGAGGCTGGCGGTGCATCAACCTGCTACTGGGCCCCTAACCATCTTACAAGCAGAAACGATTGCAGTAGGCCCAGCCGTACATGAAGGTTAATGTTCAAACAGACTTGTTCACTGATGACTGCTGTGCAACCCTGGATGGTCCAGATGGACGCAGTAGTGGATTGGTGGTGGATGGCCACCACATCCCAACACGGTTCAAAAAGAAGATCTGAACCTTCAGTAGCAAAATCATCTTCATGCACGACAATGAATGCTGCAAGGATACCACTGTGTCACTGGCTGCTACGGGCATAAAAGGGGAGAAACTCATGGTGCGTCACCATCCTCCTCTGACCTCTGACCCTATTGAGAATCTCTGGATCCTCAAGCAGAAGATCTGAGGGTGAAATGCAGTTCATATCAAAACAGCAGCTCTGGGAAGGTTTTCTGACATCTTGTAAAGAAATTCGAGCAGAAACTTTCCACAAACTCACAAGATCAATATGGATGCAAGAATCGTGCAGGTGATGTCATAGAAGGTCATGTTAACATGTAACTCTGTCTGTTAACATGTTTTTGATTGAAATAGCTTTTTATTTTAGTTCATGTGAACACTTAATGCTGCACATTCAAAGAATGACTGCAGTTCTTTATAATCCGTAACATATTTAGAAAATCTGCTGTGCATAATAATTTGGAGCAGTGCATTTTGAGTATTTTTTTTTTTATTTTTTAAAAAAATACTGTTGTCATGGGGAGCTTTGTTCAGTAAAATATGATTTATACTGTAATAGTTCATGACTTGAAAATTATACTGACCATCATTTGCATCATCGACCATTGAAGAAAATCTGAGAAAATATCACTTGCATAATAATTTGGAACACGGCGTAGTCGTCATTAACGTTTCCGCCTACACCTTGGAAAGTGCATGTTGGTGGCGCTGTCTGTGAGCATCAGTGGCTTGAGCTGCAGAGATGAAGCCTGAATGGGGAACGCTCTACAAAGGCTGACAAGTGGTGAGTCGGCAAAGACGGGATCTGCAGAAGGTCTTGGTCAGCAGCAGAGGAACGCGGCTAATCTCTCTCTTTCGTCTCCCATCACCTTGGCTCCTCTTCTGGAAGGACATTTACTAGGAAGGAAAGCTCTTTGGTGCCCTGTCTTCTTCAATGTACAAATAAATAAGTAAAACCCCAAAGGATTTGGGCTTAAATAGACGAGAACAGACACACATAGGCATTCAAGACCCAGACAATGTTTACAGTCTTTTCTGTCAGTTAGTAAAAATGTTCTAATTGCTTGTTTTCATTTGTACTAACAAAAAAAAATCATGAAGGAGAATAAAACTCAAAATAAAGGAATAACATCAACAGACTCAAGTGTGCATGTATGTTGTGTGAAAAAGTGACAGAATTTACTATTTGTAAAATTGCAAAACTCTTTCAACAACACACGTCTCACTCCTATAGAGACCCACAGCGCCCTCTTGTGGCTCCACAAGACCAAACCGAGCCTTTGCTCTTCGCAGACGGTGTCCTGAGCGTCCTGCAGGATTATCCCTCCTGACCCATTGTTCATGTGTGTAATTGTATATTTAAAAATGTTGTTAGTGACCGCCAGCGTACTGCATTCATTTCTATATGTCTTTGAGTTAATGCACATTCTGTCACATTGCAGCAATTCTTCACACGTTGGCTTGAATCCCGATGCATAAAGCAATGCCATGTCTAGTTGGATGAGCTCCAGTGATCTAGTCAAAGAGGGAATTCACTGGCTAGAAGAAATAAAACGTTTGCATCTAAAGACAAGAGCAGAAAATGTACATTTGACACGCATTCATAAATTAGACACTTTTACATTCTGCTATTTGGGTCAAGTTTGTAATGAGAAATGTCTCTTTCACATGAAAATGTTCAGGAAATGTCCGCCATTTGATCAAAGCCTTTAAACGTGGGTTATTGCAGATGTGCTTCTGATATTTGCTCCCATTGGCAGATGATGTGTGACAGAAGCATCGAGCTGCAGATTACGGCGGATTTACATGGTCAGCCAGATGTCAAAGGGGCATTGCTGGGAAGGGGAGGGAAATGAAGACAAGGGTGGGTTATTTTATATATGGTGATATGGAATAAACCATGGGCTGGACAAAAAGACCTGGATAAATCCTATGAAGGTGAATTGTTGCTTGAAGACACATCGGTGGCCCTCACTGCAAAAAAAAAAAAAAAAAAAAAATGGCTGCTGCAAGTGACACATGACACTTTTAATTTGTTGATCTTCTCATTCAGTCATCCTGTTTAAGAATTTGTTTTATCACAAACATAATCCCGCTGAATATCGAGCAAACGTATATAAATCGGTGAAAAACATCGGAACAAACAGAAAAAGATTAAAGACTACTTACAATATTAAACAAATATAATCATCCTAGTTTTCTGGCTATCATCAGACAAAAGTTGTTCGGTAATGATAAATGTACAGATGGGTGGAATGTCAAAGGAAGATCACGTTCAACAAAAGTCTATTGTACGTAATCAAGTCCAATTCTGCTTTTATATAATCGATTAAACCAAAACTAAAACACCTGTAAGATATATTCCTATATTTTCTTTGGTGTTGTATTTATATTTTTTATTCATATTTTATTTATATTCTTATTCCTTGCTTATTTTTGCTTAATTTAGGGTTTTGGCTACTCACATTTAGTGTGTACCTTTGTATTCAATTTGTATTTCTTGTATTTTGCGCACTGTGTGCCACTTTTCTGCCTGTAAGCTGCTGGTAACTTCAATTTCCTGAGGGAGTCTTCCCAAGGGATCAATAAAGTATGCGTCTAAGTCTAAGTCTAAGTCTAAGTCTAAGTCTAAGTCTATTTCAGCGGATAAGAGATCATTGTTTGAATATTCTTTCCCCAGTCATACTTCTTCATGGTATACTTGTATGACTGGACAATATCTACAGACTTCTCAAAATGTATGGCCCATTGCATTGCAACACCAGCATGTATTTACATCTCCATTTGAAGGAGTACATGTTTTAATACAGGCCGTTTTGAGCCATTATTCCAGCATTTGTGATTAAATACTGACAATGTTTAATCACAGAGTCCAGATTAGGAGGCGATTTCAGAAGAGTCAGTTAGTATGCCATGAACATGTGCCTGTGGGACTATAATGACCAACATTTTACATGTGCAAATTATGTCACATGATGACACAATTGATGATCTTTATGTAAAGCTCAGTGTTTTCACTTCGGCAGAAACACTTCTCTTGTGTACGGCGGTGGTGGTTCTGTCTGCATCCCACCACACAATCTTGGACAAGCCAGACAGACATGCAATGTTGACAATGCGTCATCAGGTTTACCCTGAAAATTGTACTTAGCGACGCACACTTGGTTACATGGCCAAGGTGAGCTAAGTGTGACGAATGTCACTCTGTATTTGCTCCATTTGTATGACTTGTAACATTAGAACATTTCCAGCATTCATGCCTGTTTTATACCTAAACAAATCTCATTATTTCTCAAGGTAACAACACTGAGGAGTTCTGGTCGGGTTAGGGTTCGGGTAAAATGGGTGAACTACAACAAAAACTACAGTCAGAAAGGCCCGTACTCAATAGTTGATTTGCATCTGCATAGCTCCCAGCAACTTCTTTTAAATATGAAAACCTCACCTCAGCCCGAGGGGAGAGAGGTGATAGGGCAAAATGGACTTCTTCGAAGTTTCCTACAATTTCCCATTCTGACAAAAAACTCTTGCCGATGGCCCTCAATCTCTAAGTCTAAATCCTGAACAAAAGCTGATCAGATGAAGTAAATAGCCCCTGAAATCTGACCTTTGATTTGGAGTCGAACTTAAATCAGTAATCAAGTAACTTCTGTTTCATATGGCAGCCACGGTGTATATTTGGGGAGCACATGACAGGTAACTATTTTTGGTGGGGTTGTTCATTTCACCCTTTGGCCCTGGGTAATGTGCCGTATTGCTCATAGGAAACAAAACAACAACAAAAATGATTGTTATGTTGTCAGTCAGGCAATAGCTGAACCATATCAAAGTAATTATGACAATCAAACCACTTTGTTTTTTTTTTCAGGCACATCAACCACGAGCAGCTCCATCACACCTACGGATGTTTACATCCGAAATGCTTGAATGTAGTATCTTAATCTAGATTACGGTGATTATTCCAAGTAATTTTGAGTCCACTCACAATGAATGAATGAAAGGCACAAAAAAAGCCTCCAAATAAAATGATGTGGTTAAACTTTTTTTTTTTTTTACTTTTTTTTGTAAATTGAAAACATTTTCACAATCTCTGTTTTTAATTTAAGAACTGTCTGTCTGCATATGCTGATCTGCTGATGCGATGTCAACAGCAGCAGAGCCGAGAGCTCACTCTGAAACAACATCATGAGTCTGTAACAAAGGGAGGTATGCTCCCCTTTTGTGCTCCCCATATGTGTGTGTGTATGCGTGTGTGTGTGTGTCTGCTTTGTTGACTCTGCTTCTTTGTTACAAGTACAATAGATGTAGACAATCTACTGTAAAATACAGTCCAGGCCAGCAGAGGGAGCAGTGTTGTAATTGTCAATCAAGAGATGGGAGTAGCTCACTAGATTCCTCGCAATGTCACAAGCTAAATTACTTTGATTACAATCAATATAACAATTTCTTCATAGCCACTGCTTTAAATTCTTACTTTCAGTGAATGTCAGTGTTTTTCATTTTTTACGTTCTCATTTCCGTCCAGAAAAGACTGACTTTCAAGTAACTTTTCAGCAACATAAAGGAGGTTGCTTTAATCCAATAATTTCTTAGTATTCATGAATAAATATTAGTTCCACTGGTAGATTGTTTCACCTGTAACATTGCAAAAATGTCTTGGTATAAGTAAAATAATCTGCCGGGGGAACTAGTCCTTTTTCATCAATATTAAGGAATTTTTGACTTGAAACTTCATGTATCTTGCTGAAAAGTTACTTTAAAGTAATATTTGCACTAAAAACAAAACACAAAATACTTGGTAGAACTTTGTTCTACCAAGTAGAACAACGTTCATTCATCACAAACTCCAAAGTAAAGAGCCAGAACAAGAATGCGAAGATGGAGAAAGCATGATGTCAAAGCCATAATGACGTAACCCAGGTGGATTATTCTGTGCGAGAGACTCAACAGTTTGAAAACCTCAGAGGAAAGTAGAACTGAAATTTTTTTAAGACCCGCAGACAGAACCAAGGGAAGACGCGTAGTGTGATTTGCTCTCCCAAGCACAGTCAGCAGATGAGAGTACAGGAAGGTCTCAGGACAGACACGGTTAGAAGAACTAGGTTTCCATTGAAAAACAGCTGATGTCTCCCCCTGGGAGGAATAAGGTTGCCGGTTGACTCAGCTGGTAGTTAGGCGTCACTGTGAGAGAGATTTAAGAACAGTATTTCAGATGTCATAATGGTGTCCGGTTGTCCTGTATAACAGAGCTAAAGAGAGGAGGAGCTGGAGATAGGGAAACTGATTTATGCGGTTTATGATGGTTAACAAAGCACTGAAAATTAAATAAATAAATAAATACAAATCAAGGGTCAATTCCTTTTGCCATTCAGACAAATGTCAAATTTCATAAACATTACAGAAAGAAGCTTTGGGCATCTTGAATCATGGCAATAGACGTAGATTAATAGAAATGTTAGCATTGGCTAAGATTTTCATTGCAGCTTTAGTAGTTACATATTTCAGTAGGTAAAAGGTTACAGCTTTTTCTTGAGTAATGCATTGCATGCTTTATCATATTCATGATAAAGCATGCATTGCTTGTATAGGAACTAAGAGTAGCTAAGAAGAAACCAAATTCCCACTGTTTATATGCATATAAACCTATGTACGTGAGCAAATGTGAAAACATGTAACCAAATAATCTAAACAGACCTTAGTGTGAGTAAATAAATTAATTGTCACTGCTTCCTTAAATGTATCAAATGTAATTTGTTTACAGTAAAAAGGAGAACGTGGAACAATTCAGTCTGGTGTTTGTCTCACTTCAAACTGAGTCAGCGGTGAAGTGTTCTTGTCATCAGTTCTTTCATTCCTACGACTACAGTATGCGTCATTAGCGATAAGTAAGCATTAAATAGCTGTATAACTTAAATTGTCATATCACTTTACCCTTCCACAGGAAGGGTAAAGTCAATGCCTTGCACTGGAATAATTCTAAATTACTTTTTTAGGTCTTCGTCGAGCACAAGAACAAATTATCCCAAGCCTGACAGGTGGTCCCGCATGGAACTAGGGGTATGACTCCCTCTGGGGTCACCTGCACAACATATGATCCCACTCATTAGCCTGGAAGGTACTTGAGAGAAAAGGTTAAAGT